TCCACGCCAAATTGGACATTTTTTGGCAACATTTTGCATTTTGTTGACACTTGGGTATGTTGTAATCTTTAGTGATATATAAATGTGTGTCGAAGGATTTTTGAAACTTTTTTAGAATATTGATTTTACAACTGTTTAATATATAATATCAAAATTTTTCCAAAAAATCATAACTGTTGAACTAACAAACTGATAAAAATGAGCTTTGTGAAACAAAAATTATTTCAGGTAAAAAAAAAATATTTTTTAACCATTTATTTTGCAATTGTTTTAAAAAAATTCAATACTATAATAGTGGGGCACTATTTAAGAATCTTAAAAAATGAGGATAAAACCTCACTTGTCCTTTTTATGGAGAAATTTTCAAGAACATGGAAACTTATGATTTGACGCAGCGTTAACTTTAATTCATTCTCATATAGCTAATTTTAAAGTCTCCATATATTTGAAAATTGGTCCATAAAGAGGACAAATAGAACTATATCCTTGTTTCTTTTTCAAATTTTTAAATAGGGCCCCACTATTATAACATTGCACTTTTTTTTAAAGGACTACAAATTACATGGTCATAAATATTTATTTTATCTGAAATAATTTTTATTTGGTAGTCTTATGTCTCCACTATAAGCACCCACAAAGCTCATTTTTATCAATTTGTTAGTTCAAAATTCATGATTTCTTAAAAGAAACGTTGACACTGTATTTCAAACGGCTGTAAAATCAACATTTTAACAAATTTTCAAAAATCCTCCGAGATACGTTTATATATCACTAGAGACTACACATACCCAATTATGAAAAAATCCGAAATTTTACTCCAAAAAGTCTCCGATTTCGCGTTAATGACCCCCTATCCGGTGATAAATATCATAATTTGGTAGATTTTACTTAAGCAGTTCATAAGAAAATTAATCAAATGGGTTAGTGTGATGGAACCTTTTGTATGCAATGCCAACATGAACGTAACAATTAAATGTTTAATATTGCACGTTTTAAGTACCATCCGAAGAGGGTTTTCCACAAACATTGTTATCTGAATGTCACTATATCTACCACGTCCATATGTACCTACATTCGACGTTAATTCGTGTGTCGCGAAGCGTTTCAAAGTCGCCTCGTTGCAAGGGAGCAATATTGGAAAGTGCCGCGCCAGCTAACAAAGAAATCGATAACCTGTATTCACATAGAGTACAGAATCCATTAGGCCACTGACAAGCATGCCAGCATGCAATGGCATGTGCACAAAGAAGATTATTAATAAGGAATACCTTGACTTCATAGTAATCGTGATGTTTATTTAAGGTTCTCCTGTCAGTTGAATTTTCTAACCATTGTACCACCAAAGGAGGTCACTTCAATAGATTTACGCAAGAGTAAATAAATTCTAGCCAGACACGGACCAATTCGTGTATTGAAAACAGCAGTGGCTGTCAGAGGAACGTTAAAAAGCAAAGGGAAAATATATAGAGTCTTGTCCAAAGTGTTGCGGATCTGCACAACTAAATTATTTGCTTGTCCCCTATTTTGTTCAATTCATTTAACCTTAGTGTTCATAACCGGGTACCCGGGTGCCTGCTTATGACTTTGAGTTCGGAGTTTTTTACGATCCCGATAAAATATTTGTAAATCCCTACAAATCCATTTTTATTTAACACATTTATAATCAATTATGTATCTACGGTTGAAAAATTTGTTTATTAACATTATCAAAATCGACTTCAAAGTTTACAATACACTTCTTTGATAATAATCGGAGTACCCAGGTGTCCACATAGAAATACATCATAACTGACATATAATTTAAGAATGACGCTACAATGAAGAGTTATAAATAAATGTAATGTTTTTGTTTAAGAACGTTATTTTTTGTCTCCGTATACATAAATACTGTACAAAATATGTTCAAATAAAGATTTTCACGGACAAAATAAAATGATTGTTTTTGACGATTTTAATTACAATGTTTCATATTTGTTGTTGCAACTTATAATTTTTATAATGTACTGTCAGTACTAACTTGAAACAATAAATTGTTTTTACCAGGCTTGGACAGAAATAATTTGAAATGAAAAATAAAAAATAATACTTGACCGAACACTTTTCAATTAATAATTTTTTTCTCTTTAATGGTTGAACATAAACCAAATTTTTTATAGTAAGAGTAGATGTCTGAGATTCTACAAAAAAAATACAGATATTTACAATAACGGTACAAATGTCTGTCCTTTCATGTTGATTAGAATGATTGAGCAACCAGGTGGTTTGAATGTCATGAGTAGCTTAGTAACAACATTTCTATTAAAAAATTCTAAAAAGGAATGGATACTGTTAAGGAAAATTTATTTCTAAAAGTGATATAAAAATTTAACAAAAACCATATATATTTCAATACTCTACACTAAAACTTCTATTTACATCAACTGCCGTTTTTTTTTGTATTTCTTGTCTTCTTTTTTCATGGTATACAAGGTTACTATAAAAGAAATAAACAGTGTCCACCTTTTACGAAAGCCAAAGTATCATTGATATAATCAAAACAATTACATTGTCTTTCAGTGTAATTCTTTGAATTTGTGTTGGGATTAAAGAAGTCACACTACACGAAAGTTTAATCCATAATACTATATTTGTTCTTATTACATTCAATATTAATTATATAAAGTAAAAAAGTAAACACGTGCGTCACATTTTCGTCCGTCTAGATCTCTGGCGACGTCCGCCAGGCGTCGCGTCTCTAACCGGATGTGTGGGCATTGTTACCAACACACACCCCTTTGGCCACACATCTGTATTATTTCTGTAAACCAATCATATTAGTAAATAATATATGTTTTTCTGGTGTCAAACCTTTTGTGAGAATATCCGATTCCATCTCCTTTGTCGAGACCAGTTCAATTTTAATATTCCCTTTCTGCACTTCGTCTCTTACAAAATAATATTTCCTGTTCATATGCTTGGTTCTGTTCGTAACATTATTTTTCTTAATCCAATCTTTTGCGGCTTGACTATCGGTTTTCAGTACCACTGGCAGTTTATTACACTCCTGGAGTCCCAAACTGTTTAATAATGAATACACCCATTTAATCTCCTGTACTCCTGTATATATTGCTATCAGTTCTGCTTCACATGTTGATAATGCAACTAATTTTTGCTTTTGGCTTCTCCATCCTATGGTCGCATTGCCAATCTTAACTATGTATCCACTAAAGGATTTTGCCGTTGTTGTTGTACTCCAGCTAGTATCTGTACTTATAGTGAGTTCAGTATTATTCCCATTGTAGATCAGTTTAAAGTCCTTAGTTCCTTTCACATATCTGTATACTCGTTTGAGGGCAGTTAGATGCATTTTTCTTGGGTCATGACTATACTGGGACAGCTTTGATATTGCAAACGAAATGTCCGGCCTTGTGCCCACTGACAAATACATTAACGATCCCAGTATTTCCTGGTATTGAGTTTTGTCTGTAACTGGTGATTCTTGATAATCGTCAAGATTTTGTTGTGCATCTAACGGAGTTCTTGCTATATTACATTCTTCTAGTTTATACTTTCTTAACATCTTATCCACATATCCTTCTTGAGATAATGTAACCTCTCCGTCATTATTATCTATCTTAATATTTAGAAACTTTATCTCATTCTTGGTTTCAATTAGTTTAAAGTCGTTGTGTAGTTTGGACATTATTTCGTTTATAATTGAACTGTCTGTGCCAATTACAATACAATCGTCCACATAGATTCCTATTGTAATCATTTTATTTCCTTTTTCTAGTTTATATACACACGGATCTTCTGGTAATGGTACTAATCCCAAGTTCTTCAACGCCGTATCAAATCTCTCATTCCAAGATTTACCTGATTGAGGCAGTCCATACAGGCTCTTCTGTAACTGACACACATAGTTAGCACGTTTTTCGTCAATAAATCCTTCAGGTTGTTCTAAAAATACTAGGTTTTCTAAGGTCCCGTATAAGTATGCTGTTTTTACGTCATATTGTCTTATTTTTAGTTTCCTTATACTTGCCATAGCAATTAAACATCTGAATGACTCCAACTTGACCACAGGGGCAAACGATCCATCATAATCAATCCCTTCTTTTTGCAAGCAACTTACGGCTACCAATCGTGCTTTATAATTTTTAATACTACCGTCAGGTAGTATTCCTTTACACTATAAATCCATTTGCTTTTAACAGCTTTCTTCACTCCTTCTCTAGGTACTAACTTCCATAAATTGTGAGTACATAATGACTCCATTTCCTCTTGCATAGCCTGTTTCCAATTTTCGGCTTGGTCAGATTCCATTGCTTCTTTGTAACCTTTAGGTATAACAATGGTCCTGTGATTCTGTATCTCCGCATGCATACACTTATCCTTTATTCTTTCCGATCGCCGAACACCTTCTTTTTGTAAGTTCTCTTCTCTTTTTAATAGGGCCATACGATGCTGCAACTGTATTTCTTCATTGGTTTTTCCCTTCTTCCTACCCGGTCTTTCTCCGGTTCTAGGGACTTCACTTTGATCATTATTCGATTGTACCTCTTCACACGATTCCCTGTTTTCTCTTTGCTGTTCTTCATTTTCCTCGATTTGATTAATCGTTTCTTCACATTGTCTTATGCTCCCATCTCTTACTGCAAGTATATCGTACTCGTTCTGATTATTTGTATTTCCATCATCGTCTGTTTCATACTTAAATTTACCAAGTTCATCTATATCCACATGCTGTCTTCCCAAGAGCGATGCTCCCAATCTCTGTTCTCTGAATTTTACCGTTCTCGAAGCATGAATCTTCCCATCCGTAGCGTCATATATTCTGTATGCCCTCGTACTAATCGAGTATCCAATGAATATACCCTTCCTCGCTCTTGCTTCTAATTTGTTTCTCCAGTTTTTAGGTACATAATAAAATGCCAGGCATCCAAATACCTTGAGGTATATTACTGACGGCTTCCTGCCAGACCACATTTCTATTGGAGTCAGTTGCCCTGTTCTCTTGGTCAATCCCATAAACATCCCAAGTATTGATGTTCAGTAGCATGATAAGCTTTCTCACCTTTCCATGTACATGGGGACGGAGCACTCTGACTTGTGCTTCGTGCCTCCTCTTCTGACAAAGCTTGTTCAATTTCTTCTATTGTCAACGACCTCTGTGTTCTTAAAACGCTAGCTGTTTTTTCCATTTTGGGGTGAATTCCTCTTACCACATGAAAGGTTAATTCACTATCAGATATTATTTGGCCCAGAGCTGCACTTCGTGATGCAATATTTTTAGCACGTGTAATATATTCCTGTACCGATTCATGACTATTCATTTTTATATTTTTTAACTCGATGCTTACATCTATTTTTCGGTCTTCTACATTTCCGGAAAATCTCTGCTTTAATTTTTCCCATACTGCTTTAGCTGACGATTCATTCAGAAATTGGCCTGCTTGTTCTTCCGACAAGGTTAATATTATAAGACTGAACGCTTCGTCATTTTTTGCTTCGCACGTGGCTCTAACCTTTGCCTCGGGAGATTCTAAGTTTGCAGATATCGGAGGTTCCGCAGCCTCTATTACTTCTTTATATAATTTTCTACTTCTTAATATCGCACTTATTTTTAACGCCCAAACATAATAATTTTTATTTGTAAGCTGTTTAACTATATTTATCGGTATTATGCCGCCTTCGGCCATTTTGAGTTTTTTTTTCTAGTACTTTTTAATTGTTTTATATAGCCAAACATTAACCTCTAATTGAAAATTGTTTTTCTTTTCTTTACCTTCATATATCTTTTTCAATCCGCAATTATCTTTTTCCAACCACGCTCTGCTACCATATTGTTGGGATTGAAGAAGTCACACTACACGAAAGTTTAATCCATAATACTATATTTGTTCTTATTACATTCATTATTAATTATATAACGTAAAAAAGTAAACACGTGCGTCACATTTTCGTCCGTCTAGATCTCTGGCGACGTCCGCCAGGCGTCGCGTCTCTAACCGGATGTGTGGGCATTGTTACCAACAATTTGGAAGACTAACAACAAGTTACAAATTATTATCTATGCATGAGTCTTTCGTCACACAACATATTTCAATACCATAATCCAATTCATTCCAAACATATCGGCAACACCAGCAACGGGCGTTGTGATTCGTTACTTGAGATCGTTTACGCCTACAGGAAGTAAAGGAACAAAAACTCTGTCTTAGGGACAAGCTCGTCAGTACTAACAGAAAACCTTAAGTCTGATGACAGATCCAGAGGCATACAATCATTTTTAACGTGGCCCGAAATCCCAAAAAGAAAAGGGAAATGAAATGTAGAGAGTATGCCGTATGTAGTCTTATCACAGACATGATAAGATATGGCAGAGGCGACGAAAACGAAAAAGAAGTAGGAAGAAGAAGCGAAAGGAAAAAGAATGAAGCAAAGAGAAGAAAAGGAAGAGTAGATTGGAGAGAAATCTAAGATACCAAAAAAATGAAATGGGGCGTCAATGCAACCGCAACGAAATACACAGTATACAGGGTTCGACAACTAGTGGGAAAAAATTTAAGGGGTGATTCTTTGAGGCAAAATAAGACAAAAATCAAGAATAACGAAATTGCGAAAAATGCTTCGTTTGTTAGTTAGAAGCGTTTAAAAATTGACCCAAATCATGGCAATCCGCGCGCACGGAGCGTCAGCGGATCACGGCTCATCAGGGGCGTACAGTCACTTTAAAGACTCAACGACGTGCAGGAAAAGTCGGTAGAACAGCTGTTTACTTACCCCGTAGAAGATGTCGATAACTTGTGCCCGCGGTATTTGAGTCGAATCCACCTGTATCGCATTAACTCTGATTACTCGATAAAATTCGCAAGAAATGTAAATATCTTCTTACGAATATTATCGAGTAGAGAGGGTTACAGTTTCATTGAAACCGTCATAGTGAGCAGACGTGTTTGTCAACACCGTGCGTGCTGTGAACGCGAGTGCCATATACAGTGTCAAGCAAATCTTATATATATTCAAAATAGTGTATGTTACGGTGAATTAGTGAATATTAGTGAATTGTTACAAACCAATCCTCTAACCCTTCTCTACGCCTTACTCGGTGCAATCCATTCACCGAAATGGCTTCTGACCATACAAATCTTGTACCCCAAACTAGTAATAATGACTCTAACGTACCACGACGAAACTACAATAAAGTAGTACAAAGTGATTGTTTCCCCAAAAAAGATCAAGCGATCATAATCGAAGCCAAAGATGGGATCCAATTAAGAGATTAGGCTTACGCATTAGGCAAAATCATCAATCCAGCGAACATTAGATTTATGTCAAGAGTATCGAACGGTAGAATTTGCATTTTTTTGGCGAGTAAGGAAATCGCAGACGAACTCACCGATAAATATAAACACATTAAAGTCAACGATACCGATCTGGCCTTAAGGCCGTTAATCAGCAAAGCCCAACGTATAATACTCTCGAATGTTTGTCCAACAATCCCTCATTAAATAATTGAAGAAATACTTGATAAATTAACAGTTAAAAGAGAATCAGCCGTTTCATTTCTACGAGCTGGCATGGCAGAAGAAGGTTTTATACACATCCTCAGTTTTTGTCGCCAATTATATATTCATTCAGATGACACACACAAAATTCCAGACTCGATAAAAATTGAACACGAAGGAACTATGTACTGGATCTATCCCTCCACAGATACCTTAAAATGTTTCATATGTAGCCAAGAAGGTCACATCGCAAAAAATTGTAAAACCGATAAAAACCAACCCGCGCTTTCGAAATCACCACAAACAAGTGCATTCACAACACCCCAAGATCCCGAAATAGTTCCAATTATATCTAATACTGACAGTACAGACAAGGCAAAGAAACCAGAAAACCCTAAAGATAATAAAGCAATAGAAACCATGGATATAGATCCATTGATCAAATCATTAAAACGTACAAGATCTGAAACGACCGACGATTCAAGCCTCACCACAGAAGAAATATATCATTCAAACCATGCTACAGGAAAACCAATTAGTCTTCAACAAATCCTGGAAGATGAATCAAAGTGCAAACAGCCAAAGAAAAAATCAAACGCTGTAACAAAGAGCGATAAAAGCCTAGAAGACATGTTGCAGCCAGTTAAACACATACTAGAAGAACCTGGTAAGATGTTAAACTTCTTTCAACTTAAAAGCTTCATTGAAAACACACTTGGATCTCCCAATACTAGAGAGATCGCAACAGAATACATAGATGACGTAGAAGCTCTAGCAAATTTCATGAAAGAGCTTTACCCTTACCTCACAGACCGTTGTATAAAAAACAGATTTACAAGAATTACAAAAAAACTAGGTAAATCTACCAAGGCTGATCCCTTATCTAGCTCTCCCGCTCCCTCGGAATGTTCAGACACTCCAGTGTTCCGAAGACGAATACACCAAATAAACAATAAACAAAATATAAAACTACCCTAAATAATTATAAATGCTAAGAAAAATTATACAATGGAATGTAAATAGTTTAAAAGCACGTTTTGAGTTCGTACAAAAATTAATCCAAGATTATCGGCCATGCGTATTATGTCTGCAGGAAACCAATTTTAAAGCAAATGAATCTATTAACATCAAAAGTTTCAACGTAGTCCAAAAAAACAGAAGAAACGCCTTGATTGCGAGCGGAGATGTAACAATCTACATGAAACAAAACCTAAATTACACAGAAATACCACTACATACAAATATTGAAGTTGTTCCGTTGTCGCGGGTAGTGTCTTTAGTTCAAGCGATATTTAGGTTATCGATATGCGAGTGTTGAAAGCGCGAAGTTTGAAAGAAATGTAATAGGAGAAGGGAGAAAGGTGAAGTTGGCACATGTAGGAAACGAATTGAAATCAGTAGTTACTCATCCAATAGGATAGATTTCAAATTATTTATGTTTGAATAATTTCTCTTTATCTCCCTCTCCTAATATGCAAACCAATGGTACGATGTTAAACACTCGCGAACTGGACAGTTGATAAATGACAGTGAATGGATTGGCAAATAGGAAGTCGTTTTAATTAATTAATAATTTCCTGGTTGGATGTCGGTATGTAAGACATTTTGATAATACACAAATTGTATTTGTTTTTATAATTGGGCAAGGAGATGACGCTCCTTGTTTCTTTTTTCCGCCATTCATCTCTGGACATTACAACTATCCAGACGCGTTCTGGAACATAAAAAGTATTTGTAAAAGTAAATTCATATACATAAGTGTAAAGAAATATTGAAATTAAAATTAAAAAATTGTGAACAGTTTAAATTGAAATTGTTATTTAATTGAATACTTAAATACAAAATCACAATTAAAAGCGCCCCATAGGCGCTAGCTCACGCCATATTTCCCACGAAGCTTTAAAATTCCCTAAGAAGAACGCAACAAAGTAATTGCGGTCTCAATCATTCTACACCAACGGGAAATACACTGGACGCCAAAATTAAAGCATCACTAAAATTCGCCGAAAATATTGGTCATCTTCAGATGCCTATATCTTCGCGAAAAATAGCTATAAAAAATATTGTGACAGAGCATTTTGTAGCCCGAAGTTTCTAGTTTTGGAATCATGAATTCAAAAATTATTTTTATGTAGTTTGTTCCTTTTGTTTTTAAGATGAAGGGCAGTAAACGAATGTTAAAAAATATTGGCCAAGTTTGAGAGGATGCATGGGCCAAATGAAATTTTTTCTGGTAATTCCAATGGAATATTTTTAAGAAGCAAACTTTTCTCTTTAATTTCGTTTTTTTAATTTTGTTGTACAGTTTTTATTGGCCGAGTTATTCGTCATCATATGAGAAAAGGTACTTTCCAGTTTGAGCGCCTGTAACTTGCGAACGCATGATCGTATAGAAAATTCCAGAAGTGATTTGGAAAGCTGAGAGATTTCTCTTTAAAGACCTTTAGTTGCTAATTTGTTGAAATTTTTGTTCGTCGTTTACAGTCCATTTCAAAATAACGTAAAATATTGCATAATTACCATTTTTCACAAAACACGATGCCATTTTAACAAAAATTGTGGAATCTTCCAGGTGTCTACGTTTTTTTTAAGTTAAAAGTACACGTAACCCCTGTACCAAAGGCCGCATTGATCAGATTTTTTTTACCCTGTGCCCTCGATAGTGAAACTTGCGATACAGTCTGAAAAATTGGTGAATGACTCTTTTGCGGTACGTTTCCTCTTTAAAACGATTTCGCAGCGTTTGAACTGTTGTGGTCCGTGTCTTCTTAGTTTCACTTTATTTTAGAAGAAAGTAGAGATTTCAGAAATTTAGCAGACACATTTTTATACAATCTTTTCGCAATGACAAAAAGTGAACAATGCGAAGTGACGAGAGAGTGCAGATGGTGTGTATATCCTACCCTTTCTTAGTTATTGCGATAGATACACTCTTCTTTTTTTGTACTGAACTTAATTTGGTTTTTTATACCGAACTTCTTCCATTCCACTGCATCTCCTCGCTGTGTTATGAGATGAGTACCTTGGCATCTGCCAGCGACACGTTGCCTTGTAACGTTAGTACTGCGCACTGTCGGTAGGTGCCCGCGGCGCCGCGACGATTCTCACAGTTGAGGCTTGCGAGCCACAACTTGATAAGACGAACCGCGAGCGTGGGTGGGTACTCATTA